TACCCTCATTTGCATATTTTATTTTTTGTTCAGCCTCATTCTCATCATAAACTGCCCTCATTTGCATAATTTTTTTTTCAGCCTCACTCTCATCACAAACTGCCCTCATTTGCATATTTTATTATTTTTGTCAGCCTCACCCTCATCACAAACTACCCTCATTTGCATATTTTATTATTTTTTCAGCCTCACTCTCATCACAAACTACCCTCATTTGCATATTTTATTTTTTGTTCAGCCTCATTCTCATCATAAACTGCCCTCATTTGCATAATTTATTATTTTTTTCAGCCTCACTCTCATCACAAACTACCCTCATTTGCATATTTTATCTTTTTGCACAACCTCACTCATCACAAACTACCCTCATTTGCATATTTTATTATTTTTGTTCAGCCTCATTCTCATCACAAACTGCCCTCATTTGCATATTTTATTATTTTTTCAGCCTCACTCTCAACACAAACTACCCTCATTTGCATATTTTATCTTTTTGTACAACCTCACTCATCACAAACTACCCTCATTTGCAAATTTTATTATTTTTGTTCAGCCTCTCTCATCACAAACTCCCCTCATGAGCATATTTTATTATTTTTTCAGCCTCACTCTCAACACAAACTACCCTCATTTGCATATTTTATCTTTTTGCACAACCTCACTCTCATCACAAACTACCCTCATTTGCATATTTTATTATTCAGCCTTGTCTCATTACAAACTACCCTCATTTGCATATTTTATTATTCAGCCTTCTCTCATCACAAACTGCCCTCATTTGCATATTTTATCTTTTTGAACAACCTCACTCTCATCATAAACTACCCTCATTTGCATATTTTATTTTTTTGTTCAGCCTCCTTTCATCACAAACTGCCCTCATTTGCATATTTTATTATTTGTTCAGCCTCACTCATCACAAACTACCCTCATTTGCATATTTTATGTTTTCCCGTAACTTCAAAGTTTGATTAACTGTTAATTAACATCTGAATTAAATGTTTTTGTAACTCAACAATTTCAACTCCATGTCCGTAACTCAAATCAGCATCTCCTCATTTGCATATTTCTCTTGTACAGCCTCATTCTCGTCGCAAATTACCATGGTGACATGTCAAATGACAGGACAAAATAAGCATTCATGTGTGTGTGTTTTTTTATGACTTCTTCAATTTTTAACCAAATGGGTAAAATGTTATATTATCTGTGTGGTTTGAAAGAATATGGACAAAAATAATAGAGGGTTGTATTATAATAGCTGACTGATACAATGTCTCGTATTGACACAGTAAAGACCTCTCACAATAGGTGATTTTCCGTACAATTGCGAGATCTCGCGTCATGCATGAAAGACGCGCGTCGAACGTCTGCCGCAAAAATCGAACGATTTGATTTTGAACTAGAATTTCTTTATTTCGCAGCTTACATTGACCGGCCGATCTTCGACAGAGGAATATTGCTTCCGAATACCCTTACTTAATCGAAATTGCCTATCATCAAATGTGGACAGCACATTATTAAGCATGGAAATGTCCCCGAAATACTTTCGCGTTTGTCGAATTCCACGCGATGTTTGACGCGACTACGACGCTATGACCTTTGTTTGTCCTGTTTTTACGTTCGATTTCACGTATAACGCGTGATTCTCGCAGTGAACGGAAAATGGTCTATTATTATCATTTGTAGGACGATCTAATTAGCTGTATTTCATATCTGGTGTGTTATTTCTTGGTATTTCCCCATACCGAACGGGGGACTCCAGGTAATATGAACTGGCAAGCGAAAACGAAACATATTCACTATTTGGACGATAGAGGGCAGCACAGCAAGCAGCAACGCCTTCTCATACATTTTTGGAAAAGACTAGTTTTCAACATTCGCCATCCTAGGTTCGTTTATTCGGTTATCGTCCCAACACAGGTATGTTTTACATGGAACTCGCGAAACCGTGCGATTTGGCACAACTTCCTCTTAATACATAAACACAAAATATATTCAATCGAATCGGACAAAAAACAATCTCTTCGGGTAGAACGATGATCAAAACACACATTTACATTAACTCATGCTCTAGTGACGAAGCTCGTATGTGACGTAAATAGTGCGAGGTATGTCGTTCCAATGGGACGAAAATTCGAGCACACGCACGCACGCACGCACGCACGTGCCTAATACGCGTTACACATTTAAAGTGCGGTGGTCGTCGCGTCCTGTTTGATATGGGACTCATAGCGACGGACACAACGAGTGTAAAATGCATTGTTTGTTTACAGGAAATTCGAAGACGCGTTGCGCGACGACCACCACCCTTCTAAGGGGTTTCCCGAGAAATTTCCTTAATTTGCAAGAAATCAAACCGTTTTTAAAAAACAAAAACAATTTGTATATACTATATGTGTACATGAAGGGGGTGAATCACTAGCGCGGATATTGTTTTATACATCC